TATCACCTCTAATACCATTAGCTCACAGACATCTAACTTTCCCCACCTCTAATATCATTAACTCACAGATACTTACCTTCCTTCCTCCCCCACCCCCCGCATCTCCCTTCTGTTCTGAAATGTGATTTGTCCTTTTCATATGTGTTCATTTTTTTAAATTGTATCCTTTGGTATATATGGTTGTGACTATTTTCTCCCATTATTTGATCTGAGGAAGTGGGTCTGGCCCACGAAAGCTCATCATCTAATAAACCATCTTGTTAGTCTTTAAAGTGCTACATAGACCTGTATTTTGTTTCAGCTACACCAGACTAACACGGCTACATTTCTACCACTATAAGGGAATGTGTTATATAATACTGGCGTTAGCAATGAGATCTTAGTTTAAAGGTGCTTAACTCAATTTGTGTGAACAAAGCAGGGTGCACTTACCAATGATGTTTTGTAGAGACACTGTGTACAACAGTTAATCTGAGTAGTGTAGCTCCCTGATTTCTTCATTTTCTCCACGAGAACTTTATTCCTGTGGAATAGCAGGGAAGATTAAAACAAAAACAATGAAGAACTTCTCATTTAATGTACCATATTCTGTTTAATGGTCGGCTGCAAACACAAATGCTATGCAAATGCTCAAAGAGCACAACTGGGTAAAATATTGCTAGCATTTGCTTTTGAGAGTTTGACAATTTTTACCAATCAAAATCAGGACAAAAGTTCCATATTGCACAAATTTTGCTAGCTGAAAAACAAACAAACAAAAAAAACAACTTTACAATTTTCAGTATGGGTCAATACAAACATTTAATTTTAACATTTTCAACAACGAAATTTGCAATATAATTAATTTCACATTTCAAAACAGAAAGCAGTTTCAAAATCAGAATTTTTCATAGTAAAATAGTCAAAAAAATATTTTGTCATCTTAAAAGCGTTTTTAAAAAAAAAACTCAAGTTGGAAAATTCATCTAAAAATCAACCTGGTTCTGGAAACAGTTTTAGTTTTGACAAACCAGCATTTTTCAGGAAAAAAAAAAAGATCACTGAAAAATTCCTACCCAGATTTACTCAGTAGCAGACAAAAAGTTACTTAAAATGTAGAGTTTAGGGAGAGAGATTTGCTGTTTGTCTTTCTGTTAGCCACAGGTCAGACAATCTAGCCTCCTTGCATCTAACTCCAACTTATTGTTGGTGATGGGCTTTGGATATCTTCTGTAATAACACTGATCAGGATAAGTCAGCCATTACCTTCAAACTCTTTTGCCTAGCTTTTTCTCCATTCTCATTGCTGAACACTCTTTGGAAAATCTTAAACACATCCACATTAAGTTGACATTTCTTATAGGAACAAGGCAGGATACTGATGTCAACGAGATGAAACCTTGCTTTCCATTCAACAAATATGCACACTGTGTCATTCATAAGAGGCAAATTAGCGTTCAATAAGATGCTACTTTAAAACAAGTTATTTTCCAGTTGCTTTGTTCCATAATTGATCAAGACTCTAGCAAGGAAATACAGGCAGTCCCTGGGTTACGTACAAGATAGGGACTGTAGGTTTGTTCTTAAGTTGAATCTGTATGTAAGTCGGAACTGGCGTCCAGATTCAGCCGCTGCTGAAACTGACCGCCA